TCTTCAATTTGGGATCATTCCTTGTCTATTCAGGTATTCCACAGATGCAGGGTATATCAAGTTGATGGTGGAGCTTTAATCCGCTGCTTCTGAGGCTGCTGGGAGAGATTTCCCTTTCTCTTCTTTGTTCTCACAGCTCACAGGAGCTCAGCTTTGGATTTGGCCCTGCCTCTGCGTGTAGGTCGCTGGAGGGCGTCTGTTTTTTGCTCAGACAGGACAGGGTTAAAGGAGCCGCTGATTCGGGGGCTCCGGCTCACTCAGGCCGGGGGTGGGGGGGGGAAGGAGGGGCACTGCGTGCGGGGCGGGCCTGCGGCGTCAGAGGCGGCGTGACGTTGCGGCAGAGGCCGGCGTGACGTTGCAGCAGCCTGAGGCCCGCCGTGCGTTCTCCCGGGGAAGTTGTCCCTGGTTCCCGGGAACCTGGCAGTGGCGGGCTGCACAGGCTCCGCGGAAGAGGGGTGTGGAGAGTGACCTGTGCTCGCGCACAGGCCCCTTGGTGGCGGCAGCAGCAGCCTTAGCGTCTCCCGCCCGTTTCTGGGGTCCGCGCTTTTAGCCGCGGCTCGCGCCCGTCTCTGGGGTTCGCGCTTTTAGCCGCGGCTCGCGCCCGTCTCTGGAGTTCCTTTAAGCAGCGCTCTTAAACCCCTCTCCTCGCGCACCAGGAAACAAAGAGGGAAGAAAAAGTCTCTTGCCTCTTCGGCAGGTGCAGGCTTTTCCCCGAACTCCCTCCCGGCTAGTTGTGGTGCACTAACCCCTTCAGGCTATGTTCAAGCCGCCAACCCCAGTCCTCTCCCTGCGCTCCGTCCAAAACCGAAACCCGAGCCTCAGCTCGCAGCCCCGCACGCCCCGGCCGGTGAGCCGACAAGCCTCTGGGGCTGGTGAGTGCCGGTCGGCACCGATCCTCTGTGCGGGAATCTCCCCGCTTTGCCCTACGCACCCGTCGCTGTGCACTACTCCGCGGTACCGAAGCTCCCCCCTCCGCCTCCCGCAGTCTCCGCCCGCGGAGGGTCTTCCTAGTGTGTGGAAACTTTTCCTCCTTCACAGCTCCCTCCCACTGGTGCAGGTTCCGTCCTTATTCTTTTGTCTCTGTTTTTTCTTTTTTTCTTTTGCCCTACCCAGGTACGTGGGGAGTTTCTTGCCTTTTGGGAGGTCTGAGGTCTTCTGCCAGCCTTCAGTAGGTGTTCTGTAGGAGTCGTTCCACGTGTAGATGTATTTCTGGTGTATCCGTGGGGAGGAAGGCGATCTCTGCGTCTTACTCTTCCGCCATCTTCAAGGTCCCCCACGAGGTTAATTTTTTATTATAAGTTACAGGTGTACACTATAGTGATTCACAGTTTTCAAAGGTTATACTCCATTTATAGTTATTATAAAATATTGGTTATATTATACATGTTGTACAATATATCCTTGTAGCTTATTTTATACCTAATAGTTTATACCTCTTAATGCCCTACCCCATGTTGCCCCTCCCCCCCCACTGGTAACCACTAGTTTGTTCTCTATATCTGTGAGTGTGGTTCTTTTTGTTATATTCACTAGTTTGTTGTATCAATATTTTTTAGATTCCACATATGAGTGATACCGTATAGTATTTGTCTTTCTCTGACCTGTTTCACTTAGCATAATGCCCTCCGATTCCATCCATGTTGCTGCAAATGGCAAAATTTCATTCTTTTTTATGGCTGAGTAGTATTCCATTGTGTGTGTGTGTGTTTTATATATATATAATATATAGTATGTGATATACATATCTCTCTCACATCTTCTATATCCATTCATCTGTTGATGGACACTAGGTTGCTCACATATCTTGGCAATTGTACATAATGCTGCTATGATCATTGGGTTGCATGTATCTTTTCAAATTAGTGTTTTTGGGTTTTTGGATATATTCCCAGGAGTGGAATTGTTGGGTCATATGGTAGTTCTATTTTTAGTTTTTCGAGAAACCTCCACACTGTTCTCCACAGTGGGTGCGCCAATTTACATTCCCACCAACAGTGTAGGAGGGTTCCCTTTTCTCCACATCTTTGCCAACATTTGTTATTTGTATCCTTTTTGATGATGGCCATTCTGACAGGTGTGAGGTGATATCTCGTTGGGGTTTTGATTTGCATTTCCCTGGTGATTAGTGATGTTGAGCATCTTTTCATGTGTCTATTGGCCATTTGTATGTCTTTTTTGGAAAAATGTCTATTTGGTTCTTCTGCCCATTTTTTAATTGGGCTGCTTGTTTTTTGGTGTTGAGTTGTATGAGCTGTTTATATATGTTGGATATTAACCCCTCATTGGTCATATCATTTGCAAATATTTCCTCCCATTCTGTAGGTTATCTTTTCCTTTTGTTGATGATTACCTTTGTTGTGCAAAAGCTTTTACGTTTAAATAGGTCCCCCCTTTTTTGGCCTTTATTTCCTTTGTTTTAGGAGATAGACCCCCCAAACTATTGCTATAGTTTATGTCAAAGAGTGTTCTATGTTTTCCTCTCGAAGTTTTATAGTATCCAGTCTTACATTTAGGTCTTTAATCCATTTTGAGTTTATTTTTGTATATAGTGTTAGAGAATGTTCTGATTTTTGAAATAAAGTAACTTTGGTTAGAGTAGATTTTTAAATATTTTTCAGGGTTATAGGATGCCTTTGAGAATATGATAAAACTTATAAACTCTATCCCCAGATATATGTGCCCTTGGGCTTCCCTGGTGGCGCAGTGGTTGAGAGTCTGCCTGCCGGTGCAGGGGACGCGGGTTCGTGCCCCGGTCCGGGAAGATCCCACATGCCGCTGAGCGGCTGGGCCCGTGAGCCATGGCCGCTGAGCCTGCGCGTCCGGAGCCTGTGCTCCGCAACGGGAGAGGCCACAACAGTGAGAGGCCCGCGTACCGCAAAAAAAAAAAAAAAAATATATATATATATATATATATATATATATTCCCTTAACCATAATTTTGCATATATTTCCTGATATTTATCAACCCCTTAAGTCCGTCCATGGGTCCCTGGCTTACGGGAGTTAACTGTTTCCCTAAGTGCACTGCATCTTTACTTTGTGCTTAGACTGTAGGTCAGTTACTGGCAATAACTATCACGAGAGGGAAAAGATAACTGGAATTAAGTGTTGTGATGTGGGAATATTACCTTTTAACTTTGAAAGTATTTGAACCTAAAACTCCCAGGTGTCATAGGTCGTAATTTTGATTTGAAGATTCCACTCAGCTGTGTTCTCTTTCTCAGTGTTTGAAATGCCAAGGTGTAGTTTAGCAGCAATTTGGAAATTTAAGCCACAGGACACTTTCTGTGTAATGTAAATGTTTTGTGCTATTTCCCACATTTTGTATTTGTCAAAAAAGTTTAAATTAACATCAGCATATAATAAAAGTAAACTTACTTACCTGGGCTGATGCCAGTTTTTAAAAATTTTTCATTCAGAATTGATTTTCTACCATAATTTTTAACATCATTAATTAATAATCATGATGGCTTGGCTTTTCTACTGTTGCCCAGTAGATGGTACTGTCAGCTTTATTTTGAAATATTCTGGTTTCAGAGTTGGCCATTTAAAATTTTTTTTTTTTCAAAAAGTAAAGTTATTTTTAGCTCTTTCCCTTCCAATTGACTTTTTACCACCTCCTAAACTGACATTTTTAGGTGAACCCACTAGGTTTAGTATATACATGTTACCTGGGAACTTGTATCTGGAATATGAAATAGGGAGAAAACATTTTCACCTTCCGTAACTGTCACTTGTTCAGTCTAGAAAGCTTTTAATAATTGTAGACTATGTGCAGAAAATTGTTTAAGGTGCTATTTTCACCTGGTGGAAAGAATAATTAGTTGTAAATTTTGCTTATGATGTTTCTGACTTGTAGTCTGAATCTAGTTTGGTAAAATAAATCATTCTGTTGGCATGTTGACCAAATAGATTTTTAGATTGGGAAGTGGAAGGCCTTATTTAAATACTTCATATTTGCATGCTCATCTATATTTCTGTGAGAGATCTAAAAACTTTAAGCCGGAAGTTTTATAATCCTTTTGAATTTTGAGCTTTCTAGCTCTTCATCCCCTGTCAAGATTAGTGGATCCCTAATGTCATTCTGTTTTATGGAAAAACAGAAGGAATACAGAATAACTTTGACCTTCATGAATGTGAGAGTAAACCTAGCTGTTTCAAAGAGAATGGGGCCCCTGCACACAGGTAGTGGTTAAAAGTCTTCAACACGTAAACTGTATGTCCAGGAGATTGCAGAAGAATACTTGGTTTGAGGCTCTCCATGAGGTGAGAGGAAATTTTCAATATTTGGGGTCAAAAATGCCCATGAAATCAAGATGCCCTTACTTTTTAGTGATAAAATTGGCCTGAAGCTAGTAAGCTTGTTCACATCTCATAGATATTACCAGTGGTTTAGTTTAGGAGGACTAGAAGTGAATGAATATAACAGAGAATTCTAAAGAGCAGTGAAAGAAAGAGGAGGTATAGGGCCGGGGGTCCCATGACTCATGCTTAGCCATCCTTCCTCATATCTTGGAATATGGGGATAGGGACATGCAAGTCACAGTTTCTAGAATGATGATATTTCTGCTCTTTGAACTAGGTGAACTTGGGTGAGACAAGTTGATTCCTGGGAAAACAGTAATTCTCCTTTTACTAACTTTGATCATCAAATAAGCAGTAATATGAAACAAGAAAAACAGTCTTAGCAAAAAAAAAAAATAGTGTTTGAAATTATAAGCCATATAAGCGAGCTGGCAACTCCATAGGACAGTGCAGGGGTGGTTGTTTGTATCCTTAAGAAGTTCTTTGTTGCATTGTTCTGTTCCCCCTTCCTGAAATTCCAAAATTGGTAAATGCAAAGGGCTTAATAGTGGTAGTGGGCTTTTCTGGATATAATTGTTGAAATTAACTTTATAAAAACGTAGTTCATTTGCTTAAAGACTACATGTGCCAGCCATTAAATGATGACTTTTCTGAGCACTTTTGTAAATTTTGCCTCTTTCTACTATTATCGCTAGTTCCGTGTAAATGAGTTTGGCGCCTTGGAAGTTATTACAGATGAGAGTGAGATGGAAAATGTTAAAAAAGCAACGGCTACCACAACTTGGATGGTACCAACTGCTCAAGAAGGTAAGAACAGGTCATCTGCATTGTCCTTTTTTTTTTTTTTGAAGAGTTTTAATGTAAGAATATCTAAGGTTTTGTAATAGGCTGGAACTTTGAAAATCCTGGGTGATCTTTGTGTCACATATTCTTAGGTAAATTTCTATGACGAAACTATTATGGAACCAGCTTTTATATTTTAAAATAACTATAAAGTGTCTTCTTTCTTTATGCCAGATCTGTCATAGCATAAGGTTAATTGGAAAGTATCAAGTAAATCCATGTTTTAATAGCCTACCCAGGTGATTTAGCCAAAAGCCTGCCACTTTTTTCTCATCTACTCCGATGGTTGTAACTAACACCTATATGCTGATGACTCCTAAATCTATATCTCCAGCCCCGACCTCTCCCCTGAGCTCCAGGCCCGTATTTCCACCTGCCTACTGGACATCTCCACCTGGATGTCCCACAGGTACCTCAAACTCCACATGTCTGAAATGCAATTCATTTTCTATTTCTTTCTCCCCTCCCCCCAACCTGCTTTTTCTTCTGTAGCCCGTAATATCAATTGATGGTAGCACCATCCACCCAGTGGACAAGCAAGAAGTCTAGGAGTCATCCTGAATTTGTTCTCTCCCAGCCCCATAGCCTGTTACCTAATCCTCTTGGTTTTTATTTCCTAAATACGTCTCAGATCTGGCCTTTTCTACCTATTATCACTGCCACTGCCTTAGTTTAGGGCCTAATCACCTCTCACCTGAATTATTGCAGACGGGCTCCTAAAGAATCACTCTGCTTCTGATTTCCCCCAATTTATCCCGCACACCGAAGTCAGAGGAACTTGTGTAGATTGCTTACCTGACACTTCACCAACTTCTTATTGTCTCTTTAGCAAAACAGACAAAGATCTGGGTGACCCGCACCCACCTGCTTGCTTTGTGTCTTTGCTCTCTGTTCTGTTCTTTGTATGCTGTGTTCTGGCAGGGCCAGCAGCACTGAATTACGTAAAATTCTCCCAACATATCATGCAGTTTCATACTTTCTTGCCTTTTGTGCTCATCCTGTTTCTTCTGGCTGGGATGCTGTTTCTCTCTTTGTCCAGTTGGTAAATTCCTCTTTGGCCTTCAAAACCCTGTTGAGGCTTTATATCAGAAAATCTTTCCTTGACCTCCCCCCGGGCCGGATGAGTCACTTCTTCCTCTGTACTACTTCTGGAACTTGTTCATGCTTCAATTATTGCATGTATCACATTTTATTATAAATATTGGTTTTCTTGTCTGTCTTCTCTTCTAGACTGTGAGCTCTCTTGGGCAAGGTCTATACTGTCATCAGTGTCTAGCGTAAATTGGTGCCTAATAAATGTTTGCTGAATGAATGATTAGCCTAACGATTCAAGCAAAAGGAAATGTGAGCTCCTAGACAATATGGATAATTATGATTTAGGAGATCTTCTGCATTAAAAGTAAAATAGAAAGATGTTGATTCAGCCCATTAAGTAAAAGAGTCACTCATCAAAAACACGATATAACATAGATAACCCTTTTAAAATTTTGTCAAAAAGATACAGCTGTATAGGATTCTATGGATGGTTGGTTTCATCTTCTGAATTTAGTGACTAATGAAATTTTCTTCATTTTACTTTGAACTCTGTAGAAAAGGCCTTGGACAAGCTTTTGTTTACCTTTTCTGAAGAATTTTTTTGTGTGTTATGTAAATAATTTGAGTGATTCCTGTCAAGCCCATCCTCTTCTCCCTCCCAAGCACTGTGTGGTTTGATCATTCATTCATTCATTCAACAAACATTATTCTTTTATTGTGTTGCTAACAAAATTATTAGAAGAAAAAGTCTAAATGTGTCTTGCAATGATTTCTGTCATGGTTTTAACTTTTTTTTTCTTCTTTTCGTCTTCTAGTCTTTTCCGAGAAGACTGGGATGCCTTTCAGGTTGAAGGATCCAGTGAAAGTAGAAGGGCTTCAATTCTGTGAGAACTGTTGTCAGTATGGCAACGTAGATGAGTGTCTTTCTGGAGGAAACTATTGCAGCCAGAATTGTGCTCGGCATATCAAAGACAAGTAGGTTTTTGCCCCCATTCCATCTATAAAATGAGTTTCAGAGTCCAAGGGCCTGGTGCTTGGGAATACAGAGGTTTTGTGCTCTCCGATGTCTGTCATCCAAAAACATCTTTTTTCCCCCAGAGACTTTCCCTTTGGAGACACTTGGACCCTGATCCCACTACTGGACTGGTGTCTTTGGTCATGTCTGAACTGAGTTGTGCTGTTCACGTCCTAGCTGCAATACAACCTCTGCCTCTTTCTTTATAGCCTTTTGTTTACATTAATTTTATTGCTCCCCAGCCAAGAGTATTTAGATTTCTTTGGGCTACATACACATTTTAATGATACTCATGTTTGTGGAAACACACTTTTGTTTATATTTTGGGAGGTCTTAGGTAATTAAGCTAAAACTCCACAAATGGACTGAAGCTCCCCCTGACTGAGAATCCGCTGAATGGCCATAGTGAGTAGCGTGGTAGTTGTGTTACTGCTGATCTCAGGCTGGACTGAGGATTCCGGGTCAGGGCCGTCAGCTGTGACTGACAGTGTTGTGACTGCCATTGGGAACTGTCTGACGAGGTCAGCTTATCACCAACAAGGTGTATTTCCTGTGCGTACTTGCATACTACAAATAAATGACTTGGCATTTATGTTTGAGTGGAGTTTCCCATGTGTTTCAGTCAGAACAGGCTGGAGAATTGTCTGTTTTCGTTAGCCACCTGATGTTTTACAAAGTTACACTTGGCCTTTTTCAGTTGGACTTGGCATTCTTAATAATTGCTAGATCCTTGCTTTAAAATTACCCCTGAAGACTAGAATATCTCTAAATAATCGATTCTTTCATTAGTATGAATGGCAGCTGTGGAAGACAAATAGTTTTAAACTTGTTAGAACCTGTTTCACCTGTAGTGCTGGTGCCCTTTTAAGATTATATCATTAACTACATAATTATAATAATTATATAAATTAAGACGTCAGCTAATTTCCACTTTGTGTCTTGACAGTGTTACACATGAGGGTGGTTTGAAGCGTCTCTTATCCGTGATACGTACACCATTCTCCTGGTGGTTAAATATTTTTTTAATCAGTTTTGCGCTGCTAATCAACATGCAGGTATTTGATGGGTATTGTCTCCTGTCACTTTTTTGGGTTTATAAATTCAGCAGAGATCAGAAGGAAGAAAGGGACGTGGGAGAAGACAATGAGGAGGAAGATCCTAAGTGTAGTCGGAAGAAGAAGCCCAAGTTATCTCTGAAAGCGGACTCCAAAGAGGAGGAAGAGCGAGATGAGGAGACGGTTAGTACCCACAGGGCCGCGCTTTTGCGGGTAGCACCGCGGCCCAAGGCACCGGCTCTGGAGCCAGTTACCCGAGTTCACATGTTGGTTCCGTGACCTTGTTTCACCATCAGGAGGTTACCCACCTACCCTCTCTGTGTCACTGTCCTCATCTCAAGATGGGAGTTATAAATAGTAGTACCCCTTCCTCAGGGTGAAGAGGTAGGATGTTCTGGAATTTACTGCTGCAGTGAGAGAGGCACCAGGAGAACCTTCAGTTGCGCGAATGAATTTTAGATTCCTCTTGACAGCAAAATGCCAATCCCATTTTGGTAAATTGCAGACAGATCTCATAAAACGATGTGAGTAGGTATAAAATGGCAGATGAACGTCAGGTATATTTAGCTAAAACTAATTCACAATATGCTAATTAAAACATAAACATCCCCTCTCTAAAATATTTATTAGTAGCTCTATATGAAAAGGGAGCTTTGAGGTCTCAAAGCATTTTCCTTAAGATCAATATTGAGCAACGATGATTGGCTAGTCACTGTTTTAGGAGTTGGGAATGCAGGGATGAATATGACAGCAGGAAGACAGGGTTTCTTTTCTCAGGGACATTACATTCTTGTTAAGGGGACATAAAATTAACAAAATAAACAGGGGTAATATCAACCTGTGATGAGCACTATGCCGAGAATTACAATAGGGCATTAAGATGATCTGACTGCTTTAAGTTGGGTTATCAGGGAGGCCTCCTAGGGAGGGTGGCTTGGACAATGTGATCTGAATGATAAGAAGGAGCCTGATGTAAAGTTGGGAGTCAGAAGCCCCGTGGGGCAGTGGAATTGCTAGGGAAAAGACCATAAGGTAAGAACCCGTGTAGCATGTTTTGTTTAAGGAAATAAGAAAAGGTAGTTGAGCCTTGAGGGCTAGGGGAGAATGGAGTAAGATGAGGCTGAAGAGTTCTGTGTGGTCCAGGGCTTTATGGTAAAAACCAGAGTAATGGGTTTTCACTTTATGCTGAGTATGATAGGAAGCCATTGGAAAGTTGAAGGCAGGGGAATACTTTGATATGATTAATGTTTTAAAATGATCACTCTAGCTTTGACATGTGAGAGCAAGAGTAGAATCAGGGAAACCAGTTAGGAGTTTATTGCAGTGACTAAATAAGAGGGCTGTTTAAGATAGAAGTCAGCGGATTTGAGATAGATGCTAAAGGTAGGGTTGTCAGGGTGTGTGAGGGAAAGAGAAGAATCAGAGATAGCTCTTAGCTTTCTGGATTGAACTATGGACTGGCTAATCATGCCGTTACTTGAGACTGGGAAGGCCAGAGTGGAGTATAGCATTTAGAGTCCTTTGGCCGTCGTGAGTTTGAGATTCTTATTAGACATCCAAGCGAAGATCCCAAGTAGGCATCTGGATACATGAATGTGGAGCCAGGGAAGAGGTCAGGGCTGGAGATATGGATGAGGGATGTTCGGCAGACAGACGATCTTTAAAACCTAGGGAGAATGATTAGACAAAGAAGAGAAGGGGATTAGGTTGCAGGAGATGTCAGCAGAGGGACTGTGAAAGAGGGGCCAGTGAGGTGTGAGGGAAGCCAGAACAGAGTGGTCCAGGAGCTGAAAGAAGAAAGTGTTTCAAGGAGGTGGGAGCTGTATCTGTACTATAACAGAGTGTAATTCTTGGAAATGTTCTTATTTTGTAAGGACCTCAGGCCAAAAGCAACACAGTTCTCAAGTGACCTATATTCTTACTTTCTTTTAAAAGTTATGAAGTGAAATTGAAGAAGAGTCCAAAAAAAAAATAATGCTTTCTGACAGCTCTCTAACTTTTCATTGGTGCCAATTTCATGAACTTTTTAAAATCATAAACTTTTCTTCCTTATTGTAGGAAAACAAACAAGATGGAAGAATCCTGAGGGGTTCGCAGAGAGCCCGAAGGAAAAGGCGAGGTGATTCGGCTGTATTAAAGCAGGGTGAGTTGATGAAAGGAAGGTTTTATTTGTAACTTTATGAAGCTGAAAATATTTCACACAGGTACACATTTTAGTCTTAATTGTAATGCACACTATGGCAGTTAAAGGATCGTTTGGGGGTTCTCTTTGATTAAATTGTGTCAATAAAAATTAGAGTTTAGAAGAAGTAGATAAGGGGGAAAAGTGGAAATTAGCAACTTTTGAGTAGTGTCAGGGCAAACTTGAGACCACTTTCCATTATTTATTTTTCCATCCAGTAGGTATCTTTCACTTATGCACTTTGACTAAAACCTCTGTTCTTATTCATTTCCTAAGGTTGTAGATTTTTAAAGTTTCCTCTCAACCATGACCTCCTGATCTGGTACCATTTTTTTCCTTCGTTCCTCAAGGAACACTTTATTCTCATGAGGAATCTAGTCCTTTATGCTCATGAGGCCCTGCCCTTCAGTACTTGGTGGATGAACTCGCTGCCTTATTCATCGTGGACCTTGGGTCATCTCCATAGAAGCCTCCGTGTGCCCCACTAGGCTGTATCCAAAGGAAGGACCTGCCACATCTGCCTGGCCGGTCCTCCACGTTAGGTCACTGTACTTTGCACAGTCCCGTTCTGACCTGCCAGTCACATTGTCCCTGCAGATCAAGGCCTGAACCCAGCGCTCCTCTTCCGGGTTTGGCTGCATTCCTCGCTCATTCGGCTCTTAATTCTGCAAAAAGAGTTTGAGATATTTCTACCTGCGTCAAACACACAGCCTAACTTTTACATTTTGGGGGAGATGACCTTCTATCTTATGTCACTGAAATTAAAGGGAGTAAATTCTCAGTTACTCTGCACTCTGCCTCAAAAGTGTCTTTATCCTGACTCTCCCTTCCCCTTCATTTCTACTCTCAGGGCTCTGGCCCTTCTGTGACCTTGTTCCTTCAGTCATTTCCCCCTCTTAGGTGTTCCTTTTTTTTTTTTTCCTCTTCATGAGCTTCATCATTGCCTGTTGCAGTCTCATCCCCAAAATACCATTCCCCCAATTTTAATACCCATCAAGCTGTTATACCCTTCCTTTCATTTTCATTTTTTGTCAAATTAATCCCAAATAAAATTGATATTAGCCGACTCCATATGTTTATCATTTATGTATTCTTTTGCTACTTCAATTTGGCCTTTGGCGCCTTGATTTTTTTTTCCCTTTTTTTTTTTTTTTTTAATCTTGGAGAAAGATTAGCAGTCAGTCCCTAACCACTCAGTGCACTGACCTTTTCTCAGTCCTCAACTTCTTGATTCCCTAGGAAAAAAAATTTTGAGCATCCTGCTTCTAGAAGAAGCTCTTACTTGCTGTAGCTTCCATGGTACTGTTCTTTCTTGGCTTCCTACTACATCTTCTTCATTAACCTTAAGTTCTTCTGCTTCTTTTCTCTATACTCATACCTGGATATACACACAGTTCACTTGTTAGCTCTCTTTTCTTTGGAAGAGGAGCCAGGAAAAGAGATTGAGAAATACAAGCCATGAAAGTAAGAGAAGGGCCAGGCCTGGGGATAGTTAGGGAAGTGAGAGTTCATAGTGTACCACTCTGATTTCTTAGATTTGGAAATTCTGTCATTTTAGTTTCATTCGCTTTTCAGGTTTGCCTCCTAAAGGAAAGAAAGCTTGGTGCTGGGCATCCTACCTGGAAGAGGAAAAAGCTGTGGCAGTGCCAGCAAAGCTGTTCAAGGAGGTACAGGCCCTTCTAGAAATACTGTCCATAAAGCTTCTCTGGAATTGGTACTGCCATTTCTACTGTCTGTTTAGGAAATGTGACTTGGGATAACTTCTCAAACATATTATTTTTCATATGCGGAGGGGTGCCTCCGAGGGCAGCTAGCATTTATACACACACCTTCCCCAGTGCCGTGTGCGTGAGCACACCTCATGCACGCACACGCGCGTGCGTGTGCTCTTTCTTCTCAATAGTTACCAGGCTTTCTCACTGATTTTAAAAGGGATGTTTCTACTACTACTGAAAAACTAGTAGATGAAGAAGAACTAGCGTAAAATTTCATGTCAACATCATGTCTTTGGGAGAATAAAAATGAGTTACTGTGGTTTACGTAACAAAACATTGAAAGATGGGTTACTGTATAACTATGGAAAAATATTTTATCATAAGTGAGTTAAAATCAATAAAAGTAGTTCTGAGTGGGAACTGCTGTCTCTGGGCTAGACCACGGGTCAGTAAACTTTTTCCATAAAGGACAATAGAAAATATCGTAGGCTTTATGGGGTATGTGGTCTCAGATGTAACAACTCAACTCTGTTCTTGTAAGGAAAGTAGCTAGCGACAATACATAAATGAATGAACATGGCTGTATTCCAGTAAAATTTTATTTACAAAAACAGGTGGTGGGCTGGATTTGTCCCTTAGACTGTAGTTTGCTGACCCTTGGTTTAAATGATTTAATTATATTTAATCATGGTATGTAATAAATCTGCCATCAGTACTTTGTTATATATATGTATGAACACAGAGATTTTAAGAAGTGGTGAGTATTCAATAACATTTTTTTTAAAAGTGGTGAATAGTAAATGTTGGGATGATTACAGCTACATTAAAATATTTAATATGTAATAGTAATTGCATATGACTTGTTCTGTATAATTATTTTCTGCAACTTTGGTCCTTTGCAGAATAGACTTTTTTACAATTTTTTAAAAAAAGCTTAAATACAGCTAATTACTTGAATCAGTAATACATTCATGTGATTAAAATGAAGGCGCTATAAGAAAATTGTATGCACATATAAGCAATATATAGACACAAATCCTCCCCTCCCTGTCTTTAACCCAATGATAACATATGTCACATTACTGTTTTGGACTTTGCTTTTTGTCTAACTTAGCTTGGAGATTATTCCATCTCAGTTCATCTAACCACTTCCTCAGTCTTTTATACTGATGCATCGTATTCCATCTTACGTTTGTTCCATAATAATGTAAGCTGCTCCCTATTGATTGACATATATGTCATATATGTATGTCATATATATTACATGAGTCTGACACACATATATGTGTCAGTGCATGTAAAGACACATATATGAGTCTTTTGGTAAGTAAATGCTTTGGTGAATAACCTCGTACACCTCTCCTTTAGCACATATGTGGCTATCTCTGTTGGATAATTCCCCAGGATTAGAATTGCTGAGTCAAAGAGAATGTTCTTTTTTATGGGTATCATGAGATTGCTAGAGGTCGTACAAGTTTATGTCCCTATTAGCGATGTATGTGTGCATCTCTTTCCCTAGAGCCTTGCCAAAGCACTGCAACCAAACTTTTTGATCTTTATCAGTCTGACAGGCGAAGTATATTTTACTGTAATTTTACTTTGTATGACTCTTATGGGGGAGACTGAGCATCTTTTTAAGTCGATAAGACATTTAAATTTCCTTTTCTGTCACCTGTTTATAGTCTTTGTGCATTTTTCCATGAGATGACCCAGTGATCCTTTTCTTCTGGATTTTTAGGAGTTGTTTATGTATTTGGTTATATAGTCTTTATTGAAGAATGGTGATCACTCACTAAAACTGCTGTCATTTTGCATTTTAGTATCAATCTTTTCCATATAACAAAAATGGGTTTAAAGTTGGCATGAAATTAGAAGGTGTGGACCCTGAGCATCAGTCCGTGTACTGCGTCCTCACTGTGGCTGAGGTAAGCTTTGCCTCATCTTTATTTTTAAAACAAAATAGTGATTATAGGGATTTAATAATGGGAAAAGGTGCCATTTGTTGAGTGCTTACTTTATGCCAGGCGCGGTGCTTAGCGTTTTGTAAACATTACCTCATTTAATCTTTGCAAGAACCCCTTTTCATCCCTGTTCTATAGATGAAGGAACTGAGGCTCAGAGAGGTTAAGTGAGGTATACAAGGCCACACAGCTTCAAAGTCGTAGAACCAGGATTTGACCCCTGGTCTGTCTGACGCCATAGGCTTTACCATACCATGTTCCTTAACATAAGGAACAGACCAACGGATATTTATATTACTTTCAGTATTTCAAGGTATCTCTTTGAAATTTTTCACGGAAAGATGTCCAAGTCGATTAGGTATATCTTAGTCCAATATATTACTGAAAGCTCTTAGAATTTTTTTTTTCCTTTATGTGCTTGCCTCCTTCTTGTTCTCTTCCTTGAGTCAGGGGTATGTATCTTTTAAAATTTTCCTGAAAGAATAAGACCATCATGTGTATTAGTTTTAGTTATCATAGTTTTCCTTCAGTGACTTAGTGGATTTGTAAGAAGTTTGGCTCCTACACAACACAGTCTCATCTGATAGCTGGATGATGACAGTCACCATAAATAATAACATACCGTTACATAGCCTGTACCATGGGACAGATGCTGAGCTGAGTGTTTTCCATGTATTAGCTTATATAGTTCTCAGAACAATTGAGATTTATGAAAACATTCAGTAAGTATAGACTGCTTTTAAGAAGTTGGCTGTAAAAGACAAGGGAAACTTTTTAAGGGAGGGGTGTGTGTGTGTGTGTGTGTGTGTCTCAACACTTGGTTTTAAAGGAAATTTATTTTAGTTTGTCTAGTTTTTTTTTTTATCATTACAGTAATGTTTGCTCATCCTGGAAATGTCAGCTGGCGTAAGAGTATATATAATTAAAAAACAGAAGTTCTGTGTCCACCCTGTTTTCCTCATTCTGTATCCCAAAGATAACGACACTTATGAGTTCATGGTGTTCCTTCCAGATGTTTTCTCTGCATGTATAAATATATTTTTCTCTTTTTTACTTGTAAGTGATATCATACATAATATTATGCAACTTGCTTTTGTGACACTGTATCTTATATATTATATTATACATATATAATATTTTTAACCAGTGAGTAGTATTCCATTTCACTGAATTGCTGCAGTTTATTTAATTGTTCTCATATTGATGAACAACTGAGTGGTCTTCACTTTCTCATTATTACAAACAGTGCCTCTGTGAGCATCCTTTTATATTTCGGTGGTTTTTTGTTGGCTTTTTTAAAAATTTGTTTTGTTTTGTTTTTTGCATAGTGAGTATGTCTGTAGGAGCCATCCCTAGAATTACCAGGTTGAAAGTTAAGGATGTTTAAATTTTGATGCATATTGCTATTTTGTGCTCCAAAAACGTTTATCAGTTGTTAGATTTTCACCAAGAGTGTACAAGAATTTGTCTGTACAAGAATTTGTCTAAGCCCAAAAGATAGTTTTTTCTTTACTTTTTCTTGCTCTCTCCCTCATCCCTCCCTTTTTGTTGTAATGAGAAGAGACTGGCTAGAGAATGCTTGAATTCTGAAGAAGTCATTGGGGAGCAGAGGATTGGAAGGCTCAGAGAGAGCAGATAATTGACAAAGAAGGGATGGGAGAAGATGGGATCCAGAGTATATGAGGAGATCCAAGCCTTCGCCAGCAGGGGGGGTTTCTCCTTGAGTTCTGCAGGGGAGAGCAGGAAAGGATGGGTGTGGTGGGCGTGGGCAGCTTTGCCAGTTTGGAGGCAACTTCTGGAGGTAAAGCGTCAGCTGAGATTGACGATAGAGATAGTGGGATTGGTAGCTGAAAGAGAGGGAGGAGGTTTAAAAAGGCCATTGTGAAGAATGGGAGAGGGGGAACTGGCCAGGCACGTCTAGAAGGATTGCTGTGCAGTAGGGAGAGTGCGGTAAACAGGTACATTTGATTCACGTTATTTATGGTAGTTATATTCCGTAAATACTACTGAACCATTGCACTTGGAGGAAATACAGGGTTAGGTTCCTGGGAGCCTCTGGTCACAACATTCTCGTCAGCCGATCAGCACTAACCTTGTTTTATGTTTCTGTGTGAAGACAACCTGTTTGTCTATTGTTGATTCTGTAACATTGAACTCATGGCCACCAGCGCTGATGAAGCTTATCTGTTACACAGACCTTCCCTGTCAGGCACTTGCCGGCCTTCTTGTACTTAGGAACACTACCTAGCACTTCAGTACTAGGGTTAGGGGCGGTTTTAAATAGCAAAATCACAACAAAATGCACAAAACATGAAAAAACGTGACACTAAATAAGTAGGTAACATAAAGGACCCTTGCTTGTAGGGCGAGGTACAAAACACGAAGGCAGAGCATCTTGCCTCGTTCAGCCTCAGCTGGAAACTTGCACGATGGGTGAGTCAGATTTTTCACCACTCTGTGCATGCACATGTCCCAAGACCCCACACATATTATTTTGGGGTTACAAATGTATGTTATCAAGGTGAATTTGCAAATACGGAAACCATGAATAATGAGGATTGACTGTGTGTCATCTTTTTCCCTTAGCACCAGTCCCTAGACCAGGTATAGGTGCAGACTGGGTGAATACTTGGGATAATGGAATTTTGTCAGACAACATTTTAGGGCAACAATTTAAAATGTTGATAAAATATTTTAAGTGACTGCTAAGGAAGGAGGCTCCAGAGAAAGGAAGATGCTAGGGAGAAAGTAGAGGAATAAATGTGAGATGCTAGAGTTTTCATTGAGATTCAGAAGGAAGTGTATCGGGAGTAACTGGGTTAGCAAACTGAATGGATGTGTTAATTTAATCGTTGAAAGGCAGCGCAGTTTCTGATGGGACAAGATCCATGGGAGAAGAGGAAGTGCAGGGAGAAAGAGCTGCGGTATTGGCTGAGTCACCCATGTGCCTGGTGGAACTACTCAGGATGGAAAGGAAGAGAGTGAGCCAATGCTTAGCGTGATGAGTGACAAGGGATGTTCGGGAGGTAGTATGCAGGATGATGAGGGCGAAGTGGTGCAGCCACATGGCACAGGCCTCAGGAGCAGGGTGGAGAACAGGCCCAGGAGCGTGGTGTGGCCTGAGGCAGGAGGCCACGCTTGGGCCTCGGAGGGATGGAGAGTAGGAGAAAGAGCAGCCTCCACTTGAGGGAAGGCTTCAGAGGGAAGAAGCAGATGTGCCTTTGAGCAAGGAAGTTGAGGGTGGAGGAGGCTGTTTACCAAAGGGTTTCGGAGGGCGTGAGCTATAGTAGAGAGATTACAGGGGGAGTGGTGGGAAGTTGACAGCGCATGGGGCAGAAGCTCAGAGCAGTATGACCCTGAAGGATTGAAGGGATAAATTACTGAAGGGGCTTGTTTCTTAGGCATTGACCAGAGACAACTGAGGGTAAGGCAGGGTGGGCCTGCCTAGCTCCAAGGATTGTAAGAGAAGCAGCCCCTGAGCTCCTCCTTGGCATGGGATGGGTGGGGGGCAGCCACCTACCCTTCTTGAACGATCGTGCTTCTAGAGACCCCAGTCTTGGCTCTGCAGGGTGTTCTTATCTCTCTGGGGGGAGTCAGCTTATTTTCACTTTTATATATGTAGCATTAATACCTTCTATATTTTAATTTTTATTTATTTTTATTTATTTTTTTTGCGGTACGCGGGCCTCTCACCACTGTGGCCTCTCCCGTTGCGGAGCACAGGCTCCGGACGCGCAGGCTCAGCGGCCATGGCTCACGGGCCCAGCCGCTCCGCGGCATGTGGGATCTTCCCGGACCGGGGCACGAACCCGCGTCCCCTGCATCGGCAGGCGGACTCTCAACCACTGCGCCACCAGGAAAGCCCTACCTTCTATTTTTTTTTAAATGCTAATATATAAGATAAAATATTTAAAAATCCATCATTCCCTTTTGCCTCTTCTTTCCCACTTCTCAAAACAAATCATTGTTAATATTTGGCATCTGTCCTTCCAGACTATTTTTTTTACTGTGAATTTACATATATATGTGTGTAAGTATGTATATAAATGTGTGTCTAAATACATATACTTTTGTGTGTGAGTCCATGTATGTATTTATGTATATATGTATACACACATAATAACACATATATACCCACAGAAACATGCGTAAATACATACATGGACTCACACGAATATAATTTTTCTCATAAACTGGGACTCACTCTGTAAGTTTGTTCTGCCGCTTGAATTTTAACAGTCTGCCCTAGAGAACTCTTCATGGCAGTAACCGTACAGCTTCCTGATTACTTTAGGATTGTGAATTGCCCTGGCTCCGCGCTCTAATCTCAAGCTTCTTGTTCAGACTTCTGCAAGGCAGGTGCCCTGGAGTGGTTAGAGGTCTGGTGTGGCGTGTGGTTCCACTTGAACACATCTGCTGTGCTAGTGGGAAGGAGACTGAGAGGCTGAACTGTCTTGAGAGCTCAAGGCCAAGCGTGACCCAGCGAAGACCCCAGAAACCTACATAACCTTTTTTTTTTTTCAACTGAGAACTCCCCCGAGTGGGGCCCTAATTTAGGCAGATATGTGGCATCAGCATTCGGCATGCATTACATAGAGTGAGTTTTCACTGGATTCCAGGGAGCCTGTCTCATCTGAGTATGAACTGGGGAGGCTTTTCTTTCTTTCTCCCCACTCTGCTACTAGTGGAGAGGAGAATAAGTTGACTTCTCCGCATGTCTGCACCAGCCATGGTCTGGCTGGATGTCGCTGTGTGTGGAGCTTTACAAAGGACAGAGAGCTAGCACTGAGCCAGTACACGGCAGGGCACCCACTCTGGCACCCTACAGGAGCTGTGCTGCCAGCTCCCCTTGGTAGCATGTGCTTGTACAATGTAGGGAGTGAACAGAGGACTTGTCTGCGTGGGAGAATTGTCACCCAGGATGCATGTGCTCCTGGTGGAACTGAGGATGATGCCAGAACACTGTAGCTCAGCTCTTCCCAATGTAATAGCCTTTGCTTTTAGATTTTGTTATTTGTTCACTTGTTTTTGTGGCTGTTAACAAGGGTGCTTTGATTAACATAATCCATATCATACTTGATATCCATGTTAATTTATTTTTGTACATGTGCAGAAATATTCTGGGCCTTTTGTTTTGTTTTTTAATCGACCTCCTTTACCTGTTTCAGGTTTGTGGGTACCGGATAAAGCTGCACTTTGATGGATATTCTGATTGTTACGACTTCTGGGTAAATGCAGATGCTCTGGATATTCACCCAGTTGGGTGGTGTGAGAAGACTGGCCACAAGCTCCATCCTCCAAAAGGTATTGTCACTTTTTAGTTTCACATTTTATATTCTGAAACATTTATTTTCTTATATCTTAATTTAGATTTTTAAGAATTCAGACTTTATGATTATTCAGGTGGGCCCAAATTTAAGCTTATTGTTAATGATGAAAAATGTTTATCAAAGTGAAAGAAATTTAGGGCTTCCCTGGTGGCGCAGTGGTTAAGAATCCGCCTGCCAATGCAGGGGACACGGGTTCGAACCCTGCTCCGGGAAGATCCCACATGCCGCAGAGCAGCTAAGCCCGTGCGCCATGACTACTAAGCCTGCACTCTAGAGCCCGTGAGCCACAACTACTGAAGCCCATGCACATAGAGCCCGTGCTCCACAACAAGAGAAGCCACCGCAATGAGAAGCCCATGCACCGCAACCAAGAGTGGCCCCCGCTCGCCGCAACTAGAGAGAAAGCCTGTGTGCAGCAACAAAGACCCAACACAGCCAAACATAAATAAATTTAAAATAAAATAAAATAAAGTGAAAGAAATTTAAAAAATAGAATCCTACTTAAGAGAATAAACTATGTCCATGTACTTACTTGCATGTCACATAACATCTGCTTGATACTTAATTTTGACTACAGGTTTTAGCTACAGATTTCTATTTCATACACACACAACACATGCACAAATACATCCTTGAAATATGTTTACATAGCTAACTGTATTTACTGACATTTCAGTAAATAAAAAATCTTGAGAAATTATGCATTGAACTTACGTATCTGAATATTTAGGAGACTGGAAAGGAGAATATAACACTGAAAATCAGTTCAGCTGGGGGTTGGACTAATGGCAGTTACTCTTTTATTATTAAATTCTTTATATTACAGTCTGCCAATGCTTCTGTCTGTTTCATGTATACAAAACATCCAAGAATAACAGATCCTATCTTTTTCAGTTCATCCCTAATATATTTAATAATTTCTTATTTCCTTCCTTTTCATATTACATTCAGTATTTTTTGCTTGATGTCAAAGAACCAGGTTACTGATATTTTTGGCCTGTCTCAGGGTTATTGGGTTTTAGTGGACAAGCTATCCTTTGGTTTTAAGTGAAAAATTAATGGCGGAATGGCATTTTCAGATAACTGAATGATCAAACAGAAGCACCTAGAAAAGTTAAGGACGAAAAAGAAAATCTGTAAGCCTTTGTATAAATTGGCCTGTTATATATGGTGAATTATTAGCTGTTCCTTTCACACCAGCCTTGGGATTTTGATGGAAGTAGAAGAGAGCACATGAGTAGATAAAATTAAATGCTCAGTTTCCTTTTTGAAGAAAATGTTGGTTTTACCAGCATTAAACATGAAATTGTGAAAATTAAGACAAGGACGTTTCCATTGTTGTAATTTGCCAACATGCTTACTTCATAAATCTTGAATTGTCATTCTTGTGGTGACAGGCCAGAAAGATTTTATCTGTTGTTATTACCATTTTTTCCAGCTTCCCACTTGTTCCTACAAGTTAGTCTCCCAGAGTAGAACGGGTGAGGGAAAAACAAAGAACTCAACTACTCTAGCTCACTGCTGAGGAATTCTACCTAAATACTGGTAGAAATGGTCTGGTAATAAAAAGGAGTCCATCTGAGTACAATATATGTTTGCTTTCTTACACCTTTTCTTTTCATCCATTACCATTCATTCAGAATTGAAAAACATAACATAATTTGTTGGAAATAAATACCCTGTGCATAAAAATACATAGATACAAATTATGAGTTAAATACTGTCTATTTAAAGAGTCACCTGATTGCTTGATTTTGGCATGTTGGAGTTACAGATAAAAGTAGGAAGGGAAAGCTAAAGTGTGAAATATTTTGGTATTTTACTGTGTGTTTATATGTGCTTACCCTAGGGTATAAAGAAGAAGAATTTAATTGGCAGGCTTATCTCAAGACATGCAAAGCTCAGGCTGCTCCCAAGTCATTATTTGAAAATCAGAATATAGTAAGTACCTCCAAAATACTTCTCCTTTCACAGGAAGTGGCTTTTGAGTGTTTCACTAGATAAATTACAAGGGATAACAAGAAACTATAATAAATTTTATAGCTTTGGTAAATACAGTGCTCTTATCTTAATTAAACTTTAAAATTAGCTTAAAATCATCCTGAATAAATATCTGTTTTGGGCCATAACATGGCTGTCTTTTTTTGTTAAATAATAAAAGGCAACATAGTATAAAACCTAGCTATAATTTACAATTAAGGTGCATAAGAAAAATTGTGACATTTCGTTGTTATTGTCACTTGGCTTTAGGAGTGCTGTTCAGATGGGATTCACATAGTGAGATGCATGTAGCCCCATTTAGGTTTGCATGCTAGGGACTATCATTTAAATCTTCTCTCCAGCTTCTAGCTCTGTTCCGCAGTGTAACAGAAGCAAAGTCTGGATGTGTTTGTATTTTCCACTTCTTGACCTGTTGGCATCTCTGAGGAGGCCTGATATGTTAGTCTTCTTCCCTGCCCTAGTTCTGATCTCATTGGAAAGGACAGAGAGCAAGCAGGTGGAAAACCAAAGTCTCATCTTCATAGTTGGTAAGGGCTCAGCTGGAGTACATGCATGGCCTGTATCTGCTGGGAGATGCGTTTCTTGATTCTGAGCCCTGGGGTTGAAGAGGTTTACTGGCCCTTACTGCCTCACCAGCCAAGCCCAGGAGCGCTAGACCAGGGCAGACTACCCTCTTGCAGGACAGCTCTTGCTCCTAGAGGGGCAGAGTGGAGACTGTTATGTCCTGTAGGCCAGCTTACTCTTAAAGGTGTGACCAGTTCCTCTTTCCAGATTCACCAGTTAGGGACAGTGAGTGAGAGCGTAGAGAGAGGCAGCCATGTTTCACTAGGGATCCCCTCCAAATAAATATCAGGAGTGGGGAAAACCTTCTCACACACCCCAAATACCCTCATTTGGGAAATGACATTAACCGGGTGTTTTGAGGGCATCAGTCATGGCTGAAACATTCTCTAATCGAATTGTGAACATAAGCCAGGTTGAGTTAGAGAACTGGAGAGGGAGTGTGTGTGTGTGTGTGTGTGTGTGCATTTAGGTAATTAATAGAGATAATGAGCCAGGCTATTATTTTTAAATGTCTTAATTGAGAGTATAACTTAATTGCTGAAATGTAAATACTGCGTAGTCATTCGACATCATTCTCTGTCAAGACAAGGGAGGAAGATCAGTCAGGTGGAAAACTCAGCAGCCTGCTTGCTGTCACTGCTCCAAGTTTCCTAATCCTTGTCTGGTTGTCTGGTGATGAGTTCAGTCAGGGATTTGATCCACTGCCTTGAACCATCGTCTTAAATTCTGTGCATTGCTAGCACAAAACTTAATCTTGGGCTGTGTGTTCGGTATCTAAGAGGCAATTAATTTTTCTATTTCTAGATTCCTCTACCTCAGAATACTCAATAATTTACGGTCAGAACACTGATAAATAATTTCAGGGCTTAAATATGTAGTAACAGTATCTGTGTAGCATTAGTGCCTGATCCTTCGACTCAGACAGAACTTCACTCTAACATATTCAGATACGTGGCTGTCCACGTTTTTCTAATGATAGCTGTATAATTATAGCAAAAAGAGAGATAACATCTACTTTGCTTAAAGTGATTAGAATAGTATCTGTGCGCTTCAGTCTGGACAGAAGGATTTTTTTTAGAAGGGCTGAAGTGATTTGTAATGTGTTGTGATTGATATAACTGATATTCAGGTACTTCTCTGAGATTCAGATACTTTTCCTCACGAAAGATTGTAAGGAATGTTTACACCTGCAGCACCTCAAGCACTAAGTCTTACTGAACTTATTATTGTCTTAGTTTCATGTCCCAGATAGCTGATAATCTGTGGATTTCCTTATGTTACAAACTATTTTGAATGGCTGTATGTGTTAACAGCCAGTTCTTTTCGTGCTATTGTGAATAATATCTGTATTGTTGAATCAAAGTTGTAATAATTTGTAGCCTTTTGTATAGGAAGATGACCTACTTTCAATAGAGTACTCTTTTGAAAGACCTTTTCAGAAGAGGGAGTGAATTTATACTGACTTACACACATTTTTAGCTTAAGTGCTTATTTTGTGTGAAATAATTTTCATTGTTAAATCTGTAATAAAGGAAAAGAAAAACTGAAAGTAAACTCTACAGTAAATAAAACTTGCCTAACTCGTGTAGTCATCTAAAGTATCAGGACACATGTTAAAATTAATTAACTTTGCGAGGTTGTGGGTGTGTAAGTTTCAAAGGTCCAGATAGTTAATTGGGTGTAGCAACAGGCCATTTTTCTTATTGCTGCTTGTTGGGAAGCAACTCTGCTGTAAAAGTGGTTCATGATTTTTAAATTATGTGAGTACAGTTGATGGATGCCAGGCCTTCAGGCAGAGGTGCAGAGAGGGTGCAGGTCCTTGCTGTTAAGTGTGTGCTTATCTCTAATTAAATCTGTATGTTTCATAGACAGTGATCCCATCAGGCTTTCGAGTTGGAATGAAGCTTGAAGCTGTAGACAAAAAGAACCCTGCATTCATCTGTGTTGCTACGGTAACAGATATGGTGGACAATCGTTTCCTCGTACATTTTGACAACTGGGATGAGAGCTATGACTATTGGTGAGACATTTTTTCCATTGCTGTGTGCTTTATTAATTGAGTGTTATCCAAGTACATGATTTAAAAACAGTAATAATGCAAAGCTTATGACTAAAGTAACAGTGCTCTGTCCCACTCTTTCCCATTTCAGATTTTTAACTTTTTACCTGTTCCATATGGCGTATATTTCTAAATAACATCCTTTAATTCTACTTCGTGATTTGTATTTTAGTTGACTTCCTCCTGTGGAAGTGCAATTCATACCACACTCCCAACAGACACTCACACGTGAATGTATGCACAGACTCACACTTCCCCTTCATCTCATTTTTCAGGAAAATATTTTAATCTTCCTTTCATGTTTTCATGCCCAGTAGCTAACTTAACTATTTATAATTGCTGAATACAAATTATTAATTGAAGAATATTGTTTTTAATCCTTATGGGTGTTGACTATACTACATAAAGTGGTAGGAGCAACATAATTATAAAATTACATAATCATAAGCTAATTATAATAAAACCATGAGATTTTGATTAAGCAATTGAAATAATGACTTTTCATACCAAATTCATGTTCATTGATGAAACTACAATTCAGTTTGCTGGTGAAAGTCATTTCTGCACTGTTTAGTTCCTTCTGGAGAATACTTACAATGAGAAGTGACAGACATCTTTATAAAATAAGGCTAATGTTACAGTAGCAAATGGAGTTTAATTTATATAAATGTAGCTCAGTTTCAGGAAAGCTTGTTTCCTGTCTTTTTCAGTGTGTGTATATTTAAATATTCAGTAGAGCCATCAATAATTTCCATTAATCCTCAAATTGGATTCTCAGACAGGCATCAGTTTTACTTGCATTGTTTTAAAAAAGGAGAGACAGTGAAAGCCATTTGCTATTCAGACTTTTAAACGGTGAATTTTAAAAATCTGAATTACATGTTACATATGGTTTTCACAGAATTTTTTAAAGTAGTTCCATGATCACATCGCATAGTCAAGTACTTGTCAGTATTTTAGTGTTTAACCCAGCTTTTTTCTGAAAAGCATAATTTTCCTCATAGGATATCTTTTTATTCAGTTTACAATCAAATTTATTATTGAAACATAAACCATTTCAAGCATATACAAAAGTGAGAATAATAGCGTGACCCTCCTGCAGCCATTAACTACCACCAGCAGTTACCAGTTTACATCAGTCTTGTTTCCTGTGTTTTCCTACTCCTAAATTCCCAACACCAGGATTGCTTTGAAGCAAGTTCCAGATACCATGGCATTTCATCTGTGAATGTCTCTTCTAAAGATATTCTTTTTCTTTCTTCAAATCTATAAAGTTATAAATGGCATAATGTCACTAACATACTTAAACATTCTCCCGCAATTGTCTTGGTTTTCCTTCTTGCTTGCTTTAGGTCCAAATAAGATGCACATTTTATGATTGCTTTGATGTTTCTCTTGATCAATTTTAATTTATAGATTCCTATTCCTCCGTCATTTTCTTCCCCTTGTAACTTTTACTGAAGAAACCAGGTTGTTTTTCCTGTTGAGTCTCCCACATTCTGGGTTTGCTGATTGAATCCTCATCGTATTGCTTTACCATGTTCTTCTCTTTTTCGTATTTTCTGCAAACTGGTGGTTTTTGTTTCATTTAAAATTATGTGTACCTATCTTGAGTGAGTGAATGGATGAGAAAACTGTAAATTTAGAAATATTGTAATCTGTCCTGGGAGGAACATATTTCTCCCTCCTGTGTTTGATGTGCTGTGATGGTGGCAGTACCAACTTGATGACTAGGATCCAGTCCTTTTTTTAATAAATGATACTTTAAAGCAGTAGTTAGAATTTGTTGAAATGAGAGCTTTTTGTTTTTAAAGTTCTGATTCATTTAGGGAGAACTTTTTTTAGAGCTTTTGCCTGATATAAACAAAATGGGTGGATGTTAGTTTCAGTTATTTTTGTGGTCTTATAAGTGTTATAGGGTTTAAAAGTTAAGTTGCTTATTTGACGTAAATGCATTTCCTTTAAAAACATTCTTCTGGAAAAAAGTAATGAGGAATTCTAGAAGAATTTGTCACATTTTTCTTTAATGGCAAATGCCTAGGGACTAGGAAGCATCCTGGGTTCTTATTAGAAAGAGCAGGGGGAAAAATTGATCTCTTTCAGCTCTGATTTTGCACTCTTATGAGCACAACCAAATTGTTTTTAGAATGGAATGTACTTTGAGGATATACTTATACTTCTAACTCTTGAAGTTTTATTTTATTAATTGTCAGAAAAAGAATAGTGGTGTGTCCTCTGCCTCAATATACAATTAAGGCACATTGAAAATTGCTTAAGTGCACTGGAATTTCTCCAGCCTTATTAAATATTACGTTCTTTGATCTTCGAATTTTGGAATGGTTAGTATCTGCATAAATTACTTAGGTATGTAATTGAGGATACCAATTGGGTTGCTTTCCCAATTTAAAATAGTTTGGAAATGAGATTTTTTCCCTTTGAATTGGACAGTGATCTTATCTCTTTTTACCTTAGTGGGAATTTGAAAGCGCTCACGCACGCATGCACACACACGCGTGCGCGCGCACACACACACACATTTGTGGTACTGCATGTTTAATTGCAGTAAAACATTTCTTCCTTCCAAAGAGGAGTGCTACGTGGGATTTAAATTTATGTAGGATTGAAGTAGTTTTTAATGAAAGGAAATAATATACATATATTAGAATAATAATTGGTTTACCTCTGGGTTTCCTCTGTGCTTTTATTACTGGTAGTTGGTAGTCGTTTAATTCTATCCCCTTGGCAGTGATTAGACTTAGGAATAATCCTAAATATCACAGAATATTGGAATACTGGAAAGAACTTTAAGGACGGCAGAAGGAAAGCCCTCCCAGTGAGGATGCCACCATCCTCCCGGCGCAGCGTGTGGCCTCTTTCCCTCAGTCATCTTCCAATGCCTGAGGGCTGGGCTCCACAATGAGGAGTCACCCCCTCTCTTCCCTCAGGCCCTGGGAAGGAATCTTGCTTTTAAGAAATGTTATTTTCAGAATAGATACATGTATTTGTATAACCGAATCAATCGCTTTGCTAGCACAACATTGTTAATTAACTATACTCCAGTATAAAATAAAAAGTTAACAAAATGATAATAATATTAATAATAATAATAAATAATAGCAATATGTGACCCAACCCCACCCCTCCCCCAAAAATGTTATTTTCATGTGACCTTGGCTTTTGGGAACCAGGAAGCCATGACAACAGGACTTAGGCGACTGTTGACTAGCATGAGGTTGCCACTTCAGCCGTCTTTGAATTTCAGTCCAGTATCCCAGTGAGTTAGGCTGAAAAATCATCAAACAGATCTATGAAAAAGAGAAGCACTGAGTTAGTGAATTAGAACAAATATGGGGCTGGGACCTTTGACTGTTGTTTCCAAGTGGATTGCAAACTTCTTCTATTTTTTTTTTTTAGAGATGGGGCTCTTTCACATTTGTACATTGAGAGTAATATTAGTTTTATGTGTCTCCCCAAAATAATGTTGAAAAGCTGCATTGTGTTGTCAGTTTCTTAGAGCATTGTCAAAATTAACAGGTTTGTCATCAGCCATTAAATTTGGAAAGCAACCCTTGATGGTGGTGATGAGTCACAGAGACGACAGGGACCTAGGTAGCTCTGCACTTCAGTCTTGAGGGGCTCAGTGTCTGGGAACGGAGAGAAACGCAGCACTACTGTCTTGGCTGCAGAGTTGATGGTGGTTAGTGCTTAATAGAACCAACTGCTTGCCGTCTCTGGTGGCAAATGGAAGGAAAGGCTGACTGACTCACTGGAGGGTTCTCGGGGAGGTCTTCCTGGGGACATGGGATTTGAACTGGACCATGAAGAATGATAGGAATTAGTACTTAGATGTTGGGATGAAATATTCCTGGAAAGCGCTGCTTATGTTTAAGCCCATGGGGCAAAAATGGTATGTTTGGGTTATGGCAGCCCGGGGATTCAGTAAGTGACTTAACTTCTCTAAGCTTTAGTTGCCCCCTTTGCAGAAAGGATTAAATAGTCCCTATCTCACAAGGTGGTGTGAGGATTAAAATAAGAATTTTAGAAACAGAAACCAGTTTGCAAAAGGTTAAAGAGATAGCTGTAAAGGACATCAAGCAGAGAAGTTTGGCCCTGAAGGCGAAAGTGGATTATTGCCTGAGAGGGAGTCAGCCCTTAAGGAGGATTTCCTGCACACAGAGAGTGTTGAGCTTAGTTGAAGGAAGGAAGCCACTGTAGAGGGAGAGGGGAGATATCTGAGACTGAATAATTGAGGATACCGCGTCCTGTAGGAGGGGCTAGCCTTGGGAAGAAATAAGCTTTATTCTCACTCATGGAGGAAATGAAGACATGAAAGGAAAATTGACGCTAGAGTGATGAGGTGGCACCTCCTTTATCTTTTCCTAGTAGTCACTGTGTTAGTGAAATCAGGTTTTAATCTTGAAGCAAATTACGAATATTGAAAACAGCCACTGTGGGGAATGGGTTTGGAAATGAATTAGGGATGAAAAGAACTATGATGACTCCGTATGATGAGGTTTGGGGTTTAGTAGTAAAACAGAGTGTTGGAAGCTCTGAAGAGTTAGCGCAGAGTGGGAGCCAGGAAAGTGGGCCCTGGGAAATAAATTGACAGTCGTCATGCTCTGGATTTAGGGAGTGAGAGAGGCCAAGTGTGCTGTATTTCTTCAAAGAATCTAAACCATTGCTTGAATGAAGACTTTGAGGTTTTCCTTAAGTGAGCGTCTTGAAATGTTCTTGTTTGACTCTCTGCCGAGATCTGGGGAGCGCAGCGTGTGTGCCTTACTTTCGTTTAGCTTTTGGCTGTGACTGATAGAACCAGGGTCCCTTTCTTTTTAACCCCAATTCGCTTAACCTCTCAGTGTTTCCATAAAATGAGGATCTTAATGTTTGCTCGCTTTATATTACAAACATGGATTTTTCATGAATTATTATTTCTGTTATTATCTACCAGTCTAGGTCTGATT